GCGACACCGGCATCAGCGCCTGACCTTGGCCGCAGATACCACCGCAAGATGTACGGGCTGGGCGAGGTGAGCGGCCCGCAGCGACAGGCCTGGCAGTCGTGGCTCATGCACCGCACCCGCAGCACTACAACTCGCTCCACAAGGCATCGAAAAAGTAATGCGGACGCGATTTCCCGTGCCAGAACACGCTCGGCCTGCTGTGTCACGCGCGAGGCATCACAGCGGTGTGATTTCATGCAGCAGCACCGCCTCGGTGCTCGTCGACAGCCAGCCGCGGTCGCCCGACGCGGTGACGAGGAAGCGGCATGCCGGGTCGATGACTTGCCAGGTGTCAGTCGCGGCCAAAGGGCGGGGGGGAAGCGCCACTCACGCATCTGCGATATCGTGCCGCCGTGGTGCCCGGCGATGATGCGGAACGGCAGCCGGTCGGCCGGCACGTCGACGTTCCAGAGGCGGATGTTGTCCTGCGAGGCACTGCACGGGAGTCAGTTTACGCCCACGCTGGCGATACGAAGACGTACCACACCAGGTGCCGCCCGTTGGGCATCGCCACGACGGAGCTGACGGGCCCGCTCTCGGCGGGGAAGCGCAGCGTGCGCGAGATGCGCGGCTGCGCGCGGCCGGCCGCCGTCGAGCCGGCGTCGGGCAGCATGCGCAGGTCCCACTCCTCGACCGTCTCGTTGCGGCGCCCGACGTAGATGCGGTTGCCGTCGCTCGACCAGCACGCAGAGGCGCACCACGGCGGCGTGCGGTCGGGCAGCGCCAGGGCACGCACGCCGCAGGCAGCGGCTGGTGGGATGCGGCAGTCCCACAGCGTCACCTGCCCGCCGAGCGTCGTGCTCAGCAGGATGTCCTTGCTGAACGTGCTGATGTCGCCGTCGAAGCCGTCGGTCCCCGTCAGGCCGCCGAAGCGCTTGACCACCGCCTTTGGTGCAGCGCTCGGCGTCGTGGTCACTGGCGCAGGCGGTGCGCTGCCCGGCAGCGGCAGCCGCAGCGCGCCGGGCAGCTCGATGCTCGTCTGCAGCGGCGTCTTGACGGCGAGCGAGGCGAGCGGCTGGTCGTCGTCCTCTTCGCCCTCGGCGTCTTCCTCGCCCTCGGCGTCCTGCTCGTCGGCGGCGAGGTCGTCGGGCATGGCGCCGGATGCGCCGAGGCTCTGCCCGACGCTGGCGCTGGCGGACATCTGTGGATTTGTGAGGGCCTCGAGGTCCGGGCTTGCGCCCCCGAACAGCGAGTCGGCGTCCGAGTCGGCGTGCGACGCGTCGTCCATCGTCGTGTCGGCGGGGAATGGCCGCTGCAGTGTCGCGCGCGGCAGCTCCTCGGCCATGGTCACGTCTGGCGGCTCTGCTGGCGAGGCGGCGGGCTGCTCTTCTGGGCGCTCAGACGCTTCGCGCTTTGGCTGGCGCTTCTCGGGCGACGGCGTGCGCCTCGCGGAGCCTGCTTTCCTGCTCGAGCTCTCCGAGTCGTGGCTCGCGCCGCGTGTGCGCCGCAGGGACGACGCGCGTCCTTGCGAGTCGCTGCGGGACGACGACGCGCGTGCGCTGCCGCTCAGAGACGCGGCGCCGGCAGGGCGGAAGGCGAGCGTCGAGACCTGCCCGGCGTGGCCGTCGAACGAGCGCACGACCTGGCCGGTGTGCAGGTCCCATTGCTGCGCGGCCTGTCAGCGTCATGCCACGCCCAAGCAAGGTGGCTACTCACGTGCACGGCGCGGTCCCAGCCGCCCGAGACCAGCGTCGCGTCGTTGTTGCACAGCGTCAGGACCGACACGGCTGCCGTGTGCCTGCGGAGCACGTGGCGCGTGGCGCCGGGGTCGTGGCGGATGGACGTGAGGTTGATGTTGCCGGACTGCGCGGCGTGAGCAACAGCCACCACTACCTGGCTCGCACGCACCTCGCAGCCGCTGAGGCCCCACAGCGCGTCGCGCTGGATCGCGAGGCTGTGCACGGGCGACACGAGGCGCTCCTCCTCTTCGCCCTTGACCAGCCTGCCGCAGCGTGAGATGCGAAGCCATGTGGCATCTGCGGCAGCACTCACGGAAGCTCCTCGTTGGCCCACCACGCACTCAGCACGCCGCCGCGCGTCACGCCCTCGACGAACGCATGCCGCACGCTCAGCGTGAGCGGGTTCTTGCTGTTCAGGCTCGCGTTGGCGTCGTACCTGCGCACGTGGCCGTCCGCGCCGCCGCTCAGCAGCGTCGTGCCGTCGGCGGAGAGCGCGAGCGCGTGCACATGCGCCGCGTGCGGGATCGCGCCGACGGGCTCGATGGCGTACGCCGTGGCGCGCGCGGCCGCGGCCGACGGCGCCATGCCCGCGAGGCGGGCCAGGGCGCGCGACGTGTATGCCGACGGCGAGCTGCCCCGTGCCGCCACCGGAGATGGCGCCTGCGAGCCCGCTGCGGCGGCGTCGCCTGGGCAGGTGAGCGACGTCGGCGGCGGCAGGTGAGCGACGTCTGCGGCGATGAGGGCCGCGCACACGCACCGATGCTGCCCGAGAACGCCGACGAGCCCGACGAGTCCGAGTCGTCGTCGTCGGACCCGCTGCCGTCCGACTCCTCGTCGTCGTCATCGTCGTCGTAGCTGCGCCGTGTCAGCGCGCGCGCTGCGAGTGCCCGCGGCGGCGACGCTCACCCTTCCGCATCGGCGCCGCTCTCTGCGCCGTCGTCGAGGGCGCGCACGGGCGTCGGCACCTCGGGCAGCGGCGGCGTGCTCTCCGACGGCGAGCGCGAGTCGAACGACGCGCGCGACATCGGGCCAAGGTGCGGGCGGGGGAAGGGCGCGGTGGAGGGGATGTGGCCGAGAAGGAAGCAGCGCGCGTCGTGCACGAGCCAGCAGACCGGCCGGGGCGCGTGGAGGTGCGAGCGGCCGGCCAAAGCGAAGCCACCCGGCCGCGCGCCGCGCCGCACGGCCATCCTCCCGCCCACCACCTCCCGCCTGCGCCATCCACATCGCAGCACCGCAGCTTGCAGCGCAGTCGCCGCCTTCGCCTCACGCGCCAGGCCTCCCCACGCATTCAGCAGCGCCTCGCTCTTTCCTTGCGCCGCGCACACGCCGCACCTCGCTGAGCAGCGAGCGGCGCATACACGCCGCCGGCATCAGCAGCGAGGCGTCAGACGACGAGCACGCTGGCTAGCGGCACTTTGAGCGGGGCACCGAGCGGCGCGTGCATGTGAGTCTCGCAGCGCATCAAGCAGCGAGCCTCTCTGAGCGGGCGGCGCAGCATGAATGTCATCGATCTCACCATGGACGACGAGCCGGCCGTCGCCGCGCCCGTGCCTGCGCCTGAGCCTGTCGTCGCCGTCCACGCACTTGCTGCGCCCGTGCCCGGCGCTGCGCCAGCTGTCGATCTCGATGCCGCCGTGGCCTGGTGCGCGACTCGCCGTGCAAGGCTTGCGGGAGAAGCCCACGAGCATCTGCAGGCAGCTGACTGCCGCCATCAGCAGACGTCGTCGGCCTGCGCCGCCCGCGCCAGCGCCCGCCCTCCTTCCCGCCTCCACCCCCGCCCGTCCCGCGCCCATCGACGATGCCACCGCACGGCGCTGCGGCGACTGCTGCGCCCACCGACATGCCGCTGCCGCACCGCGGGCCCACGCACATGGGCGAACATGCCTGGACGTGCACCTCGCGCGCTATACGTGCGCGAGGGGGCCTGGCTCGGCCCAGGCGACGCTGGCCCGCGCACCGCCGGCTGCCCTGCGGCGCTGCTCCCGTGCCGCGCCGTTCGCAGCGGAGAGGAGCATCTTTTAGAGCGTAGAGCTCTCGCGGCAGGCTCTACGCTGCTTCTGCGCGTCGCCTGCCGCCGTCCTGGTCTCGAGTGAGTAGGGTCTCGCCGCGCCCTGTCTCTCGCTCCGTCTCGTCCGTGCCGCTGCGTGGTCTGCTGGGTCGCTGTTGTTCCGGGTCGCTGCTGGTGCTGCCGGCGTTGCCGCTGCGTGTGCTTGAGCTTGCGCTGCGCTGCGCTGCGTCTGCAGTGCGCCGGCAGGCGTGCGGCCAAGAGGCGGCGCAGTGCGTCCGCCGCTTGCGTCCCTTGCAGCGCTCGCCGCTGTTGGTCTTCGTTGCTGTTGGTCTGGGTTGCCGCTGGTGCTGCGGACGTCGCTGCTGCGCTGCAGCGGCGTGTGGCAGATCTCTCCGTGCCGTGCCCATCTCGTCGCGGGGTCGCTGTTGGTCCGGGTCGCTGCGGGTGGCCCCCGGCGTCGCTTGCGCCTCGCGCAGCGCTCGACTCTGTTTGGATCGCTGTTGGTCATGGTGCTGCCGGCGTTGCTGCTCCATGCTCCGTGCTGGGCGCTGCGTGCCGCGTGCTGCAGATCTCTGCGTGCAGCAGACCTGCGTGCGGACTCGAGAGGCGCTGCAGCGCCCGCGCCGCTTGCGCCTCATAGCGCTCGCGCCCCTGCAGCAAAGGGCGCGAGAGGCCGGCGCTGCATCGCTCGCGCCCCTCGACGGAAGGGCGCGAGAGGCTGGCGCGCAGCGCGAGGCAAGAGCCGTGCTGCCGTCGTCATCCGTGGTCGTCGGCCATGCGTCTCGTCATTGGCCGTGCTGCCGTCGTTGTCGTCGGCCATGCTGCTCGTCATCGGGCATGGGGCATGGGGCTTGTCATCATCGGGGGGAGGGGGTGCGTCTCGTCGTTGTTGCCAAA